GAACCCAGGCTGCTGCAGTAAGGACTCTGGCTTAGTACATGGGGTGCCAGTTCTTACAGGGGAGCTACTAGGACACCCCAACAAATCTTTTTTTAAATATACAGTACACACACGTATATCTTGTATATGTGCGTTGATGTGTGCAGGACGGGTGCATAATTTACCTTGGTAGGTTATAGAGTGGCGCCATCCTGAAGCAAGCAACCACTGCTCTCTTCCTCTGTTTGGACAGCAGTTTGTGCCACACAGCCTTCTTACTGCGCTGAGGATGTTCAACCTAAACACACAAACTGACCACTCAGTACAGAAGACATTCCATTCATGTAGCTCATCGTCTCGAGGTCACAATCCCCACACCTCAAGGACAGTTGTTAGTGCAAAGTGCATTTGCAAACATTATTGTCTTCAAACAGACATGCTTATATATATTTTTAATATATATAACTTTAATAACCAATCACATCAACTCTTAAGAGGAGATTCCAGGCCAGCTTCTCTTGTGTCACACATACACAAACCTGGTCTAGGTGGAAGAGGACATGAGCGATATCCAGGACTCGCTCTACAGTCTTTTCTGGATCAGAAGTGTCCTCACAGTGGTTTGGGAGGTCTTTGTACAGAGCCATTTGCCAACGAATAGCTGGGTCCTCCAGCTGTACAAGACACACATGTAAAGTCACAAATGCACAGAGGACATGCATTAAAATGTGTGTTAAGGCTGTGCACTTCTGTTATTATTTAATATAAAGCATGACATTATCTTCAGATTATCCCAGATATACTTGCAGTGCGCTGACTCTCTTAATTACAGGCTCAAAGTGTTCCTACCTTTCCTTGTAAATGAAGATTGTTTCTGATGATCTCTCGAACTTCATCCTCTGTATCTTTCTGTTGAGAGAGTAAATGCACGGTCCATTGAGAGACAAAGGCAACCATTACAAATTGAAAGTCAATTGGCTGCCATTTTAAATCATCACAAGGCAAAGGCAAGGCAAGGCAAGGCAAATTCATACATGAGGCAGTTCCAAGGTGCTTTTCAGAGATTTAAACTTAAAAGCACTGGAACAAACTTCAAAAGATTGAATGATATATGGTGATATTTCTCTGGAATTGTAATGGAAGTTAAGGGCTGTCCATGTCAAGAATAATAACTTTAACAATAACTATAACGATGCCAGCATCCACACTGATGAACAAAAACATTGTGGGACCCAGGCTCTCTAGGTGTGTCAGCAGCTTAGGAAAATGTATACTGAAGAGCTGTTGTGGTTGCACATATAAACAAAAAGAAATCAGAAGGATATGGGTTTATTAATATCTCAGTTAGGAGAATCAAAAACTCTGTGTTGTCATCTTTTGAAAACAAATTTCATTCTTACTTTGGTAAAGAGAGTAAGGACCAAACAAACTTTGGCGCCAAAGACTTGTTAAACATCCCTTAAACAATGTATATCTTTACTTGAAAAAAACAAAAGATAAAAGATATGATCAGTGATAATTGGAGGTCTGGTTGGAGAAATGCAACCAAATTCATCATTTGATTGTCTTACTATTGTTCAATAACATACCATTGTATGTACTATTTACATCCTTGTTTAAAAATAAAAAAATAAAAAGTATGTGGTGGCCTCTAGATGCAGAAATGCACTTAAATAAAACACACTAATGTCAATTCCCATTCTTCCCAACACGTTACACTACAATATTCAGATCGTTTGCCTAGCTAATTGTTAACTTACATTCAAAATAAGGTGACATTTGATCTATATTTAACAAATCACAGAATAGAATAATTACACAATTTCAATGAGGGGAAGGTACGGATACATATACTTTACCATTTATTTATTTTATTTTTTATATCACTAATTCCACTAATAGTTAACAGGGTATGGGACAGGGTATGTGAGGTAAGCAACAGGCTGACAGAAGATGTGGGGCAGTGGGAAGTCATGTTCCCACAGCAGGTTAAGAACCAAGTGGATAGGGGAAGTGTATGATGCATGATGCATGATAACCTAAGATGGCGCCACAAACGGTCATCTCGATGTGGTCGTGCGCTTTGTTATTTCTTGTTTTGTGTGTAAATTCAGTTTTCAGTTTCAGTGGCTGTGATACCCGGAGCTCTTTCACTATTCAGAAGAGCTCATGAACATCAGGGGAACAACTCCAGCTGATCTCTTTCCCACTTTTCTTCTTTCTTCCGTGGAATTATTGGACATTGTAGTCAAAGGTGCACTCACCTTTGCTCACGCAGTGAAACGCAGGAGAGGAAAACGTGCCGGTGCGCTTGTGCGTCTCCGCCAGCGCGGACATCGCACACCGTTACCTGGAATATTGGGACACATGAGCAGTTGCACCAATATAATTAATAATATTTAATAATAATTAATAACACTAATAATAACACTACATGTCAGTGGATATTAGCAATGGCAGTCAACGAGCACCATGGCAGGAGGTTCCGAGATCCAATCTCTAGAAACCTGCGGGCAGATGAGGGAAAGGACAACTTCCGGCGGGGAAGGAAGTGAAGAGTTGAGTAACATGCACGTTAGATGACGGATTACATGAGTGCAGAGAAGACTGAGAGAGAAGGAAGAGAGGAGCTCTCCCATCATGGAAGATTCCCCTGATAGTCTAGGCCTGATAGCAGCACGTCTAACCTAAGCGGAGTGGGCCCTCAATACTCACCTGGATCCAGCCCTAGACTATTAAGCTTTATCGAAAGAGGAAGCGTTCTTAAGCCTACGTTCCTTAAATTGGGGAGCGGTGTCTGCCCTCCAGAAACCAGCAACTTGGAAGGCGGTCCACAGCGAGGAGGGAAGCTTGGGTAACTGAAGGGGCTCTGCGCTCCTCGTTCTACTGTTTAGGGACTATAGAACAGTAGCCCTCGATTCAGGGAAGGAACGAGTGTTCTAGAAAGGTGGTGAGATGTTAATACAACAAAGATTGGCGCCGACGCGGACGGCTGCCTTCGGGTGGTGTTGGGCCCCTTTGTTTTTTCTTGTTTCTTGGTGTTCTCTTTCAGTGTGTCGGCTGGGCTGGATACCCGGAAGGCTTTTCACTAGGGGAGAAGAGCTCATGATACAGTCAGGAAACAACTGCCAGCGTCTGATCTCTTTTCCCCACTTTTCTTCTTTCTGTCCATGGAGATTACTGGGACGGGATTGTGGTCAAAGTGTTTTTCTTGATGCGGATCACCTAAATTGCTCATGCCAGGTGAAACGCAGAAAAAGAGGGGAGACCTGTCGCCGGTCTTGGCCTGGTCTCGCCAGCGCGAGATGCAGATCCGCAAGTCCATCGAACTATGAAGATTACCCTCGGAACGTGTTTCACATTCCTCTACGCGATATCTGTGCGTCGAGCGTCACTGCATGTCTATGAAGTAAGACAGAAATAGATAGTGGTACATCAGTTTGTCTGCTAGTCTCATTGAATCAGCTCGTTGACTTTCGGCGGAAAAACAGTCGAGCTGTGTTGGCTTTGATCCTCTGTTTACCGGGTGGCGTGTGTGCATCTTGAGGAGAAAGAGAGTAGGCAGACCCGGGGAAGTGGCTCTGCGTCTGCAAGCTGGGCAGGCCGCCAATCGCGCTTAGAAGCCTCGCGGATTTAAAGTAGACGACGCGTAGCGAAGCGTCTCGACGGACACGGAGAAATGCCAATAGGGGTGGGGGAGTAAGTCAGAGAAAAGGGTATACGTGTTTTGACATGGTATTATACTCACTTCAAATTCCAAACTACGCCGCGGTTACAGATGCTTAAAACCTAAGAAGTTGCGGCCACATGATCGAATCAGTGATGTTGCCAACATGCAACTGCAGCCAGACATCTCTTCCTAAGGGACACTCTCTCTCCTGTCCTCGCTGGCATATATGTATCTCAAGCCTGAGAGAACTGTTTGGTAGTACTCCGGAAGAGCTAAACTGTAAACCTTGTTTACTTCAGTGATCGTCACCCCCGTGCCAGGCGCTGTTGTTTCGTATGTTCCGAATCTGCTGACGGCTACAAGAGCAGCAGCAAGTGTACGTTATGACATATAGTGTCTGTGTCCTGACACCGCGCAGGGTGGGCGCAACGCTGGCAGGAGCACGAGAGGCGCACGTGGCAACGCTCTGTAGCTGCTGTTACAGCTGGACACGACCATGGTAGAAGCTAGGCGATCGCGGTGTGGCCCTCGCAACCCAGCACGCTCACAACCGTCCGTCAAGCGTACCCTCAAGGATATCCACTCTCTCTTAATGTTATTGTCCCTGTGGGTCACTCTTAACAAGGACAGCTGCAGCAAGACATGATCCACCTCCTTGGCAAGAGATCAACCACAGAAAGCGCGTAAGGCTGTTGAGACAGACCACTTGTCCGACTGTGGATGTTGTCTCTGCTCATGAATCACCAGACCCACCACAACTTCCTCTCTCTTGAGCTTTATGTGTTCACATTGCGCGCTCTGACCTTCCGTCTCCGCCAACAGCTAGCTCCATGGTGCACACACACGGACCGACGCGCGCGGGTGTGGGGTGGATGATCTCCACCCACTCCGGAAGCGCGAGAAGCAGAGCAGATTGTCGTTGAACATGGATACAGCGTGGTGTGTAACACATGCTGCGCGCAAGGCGAGCACAGCGAAGCCGTGAAGGAACGAAAATATAAAGCGTTCGCTAATAACATTCATTGTTAGAGGAAACCCCAACAACCCAAACCCAAGGATACGAAATGACACATTACAAAAAAATCTATAAACAAATCCCTACCATCTATGATCCCACATTACCAGACGAAGACTAGTGATATGAGAATATATAGAGAGAGACGATATTGGAGAGAAGACCGATGACCCCCCGGAGATTGTTGAAGAGCGAGAGACAGCAAATAATAGTATACGAACTATGAGCGGAAATACCACATTTCGACATTCATCCTGCTGTTCGCAGACCTGTTTGGAGCGGCCGGCGCGATCGAACGCCACGGGAGCCCGGCTCTTCTATCCCAGTAACCCGGGGGGTCAGCGCAATTAAGCTAAAAGACGTTGTGTGATTAGATAGACAAGTAAGCGCGCTGTCTTCGTGACTGATGAGCTCTTGCTTGTCTTAGTGTGTAAGCTTATAGAGCTTACACGCGAGACACGAGGAACATAAACCTGAGTAAACCCGTAAGAGAGTCCGCGGAATCCCTAGCGTCCTCGAGTAAACATGGCGGGCCACACGCAAGGTATCATAGTGGTACGTGGATACGCAGAAGGCCAGAGCGTAGCGTGCTGGTCCGTACGCGTCTTCCGAGAGCTGCACAGATGTTATGGTGCTGTGCGGGTTGGCTAGAATAGTTGAAATACATGAGAATGCTATAGCTGGAGCACAGACAGAGCTTGTAATCGCCCGGTAGAAAACAGATCATATAGACGTAACAACAAGCGGTGGTAGTATTATAAGAATCAATCGAAGCTGCATGAAGTACATTGCATCACAGAGACTAAGATCGAACCAGTGCGACGCAGTTACAAAGGAACAGTCCGAGGCGAGCTGTAGAAGAAGCCATTATTAAGGTGCTGATTATGTTCAATGTTCCAACTTATGATACATTTTTAACTACACGTGGAGAAGCCCGTGGAGATGGGGAGACATTAGTTGCGGATGTCAGTTGAAAAGACGTTATTCAAAGGCAGGCAGAGACACTTTGACAAGTGCCACGTGAACATGGAAAAATTAGAAGAACCAAACACATGGAGGATCGTAAAACAGACAACGCGAGGAGCACAGACGAGAGGAATAGAATACGCTATCGCGGGTATACCGAGTGACATGTCAAGTAGGGACGATGTGTGGTGGGGTAAGTGATGAGATTTGTGCCAGGCATCCTAGTGGCTTCACTGAGTGTGCTGGCGTAATCTAAACTAGCAGACCGAGAATACTCCATACCCATCTGTCTTGCGTGACGAGTCTCCTGTCACCAATTGACCGGCTCCTCAAGGAGGGTTGGAAGCCTGCCAGCGTGCAGGCGCAGAGTCCGGGTATGCGCATTCCACACAGCCCACGTAACATTACGGAGTAAAGAAGAAGTCTCACCTTGTTCTTTGTCCCCCCACGAAGCGTAGGGCTGACGACTTCATCCGGGGGTGTTCTATCTGGCAGGCAGTGGAGCCGCAGGTTGTTTTGTT